GAGGGGGCTGCAGGAACGTGGCCGGGGGTCCCCATTTGCAGAGCGATGTCATCAGTGCGTGGGACTGGGGCCCCCAGCACCGGCTCCGGGCCTGGCACGTGCAGTGACACGCACTTGCTGTATGCGTGGTTTTGGTTGTTTCCCTGCCGTGTCTTTCTGCCATAGCCTTTTGGTGCTGTCGAGCCAGGTGGATGTCACCTATTACAGGCCCTGTGTTTCTTATTTTGCACACAGACTGATCTGTACTCAGGGGCTCTGTTCGTGCAAGTCTGTCTGGGCTGGGACCTTTACCTCTCCACCGTCCTGATGCTGGTGGTCACAGCGCTCTACACGATTGCGGGTAGGTTGCTCAGTATTTGCTGGCCTCAAGTGATTCTTGTTCTACTGAACCGTGCCACTTATGCTCCTTTTTTTTTTTTTTTTTTTTTTTTTTTTGCTTCTGGGAGGTCTTTGGGGATTTATACTGCTTTTATCTCAGACAATGGGGTTCACATTCACTGTCCTATCCAGCTAGTGTTTGTGTCTCCTTCCTAAGTGTCAGCTCGGGCAACGGCTAGATACCTGAGCTCTCCTCTGTGATTATGTGCTTAGGCTTTTCATTTGTAATAACTCGGTCCTCCTCCATAACATAGTTAAATGCTTTCTTGTATGTATACCTATTTGTAACAGCTGTAATCAAGGCTTCTCCTATTACATGACCATTACCATGGAGTCTAAAATCTCAAAGGCCTTTGCCTAACTCATTTTCCTCCCACTTATCCTGCCCGTAATACAACTTGCTGCTGTCCATCTGCGAAGCTCTTAGAAGTATTTCCTGCATGTGCTTCCCTTTAGCGTAATCAGCTTTTTTGTGCGGAGTCAGTCAATACATTTCCTTTGTAATTCACAGTTAATGAGAGTTTGGAGCTGAAATTAGAAATTGTGAGCACCCAACTTGCAGTCCCATACTCTGACCGTGCGACCGTATATCCTTGCCAGGCCTTTATTATTTGGCTGGGACGTTCCTTTCCCTGGTCATTCCAGTGCAGATGCCTTGCAGTAAATTTTCCTCGGTATCTTATCCCAGCCATCAAAACCCAGAACAGCTTAAGTACATCCGAAACATGGTAGATTTTGCAAGACTTTGGTTTTACACAAATCCCGTCTTGGCTTTTTCCTGCCCATGAGGCTTGTTGTGAAGCAGGGTATTTTAGTCTGAGCTCAGGCAGAGGGTGTGATCGCTGCGTCACCCTAATCCTGAGAACATCCCTCCAAATCCCAGGCATTGCCTAGAAGGGTGCAGCCCTGAAATACCTGGCTGTGAATCAGTGACTTGGATTGAAATTGGTTCAAATTTTGACCCATATTTTCTAGCTCCGCTACTTTTTATGCTTTTGTTCATATGCTGAGTAACACCTTTCTGACTAGGTAAGCAGTCCTGGATTTGCAACAAGTACTGAAGGAAAACTTGGTATGGAAGGGAAGAAATCCTGTTGGCTGAATGGCTGAAGGGGACCCTGCTAAGCATTAAGTGCTGGAAAGATAAAAACACTGGGCTGCGAGGGAGAGCTGAGGGGATACAAAACGGGAGGCCTGGTGTAGTGTTAAGGAGAGGTAGGATGAATGATGGGATCAACATCCTGGCAACGTGGTCCGTTTGCTGGAGTATCCAAAGAGATCTGGGGACATCCCTCTCCTGGGTTATCTTGGAGCAGGGCAGAGCACTAGAGGGCCTGCTATACAGATTTGAGGATAAACCAGTGACTTACCACAAGGTCATCTTCTTACCAAGGTCTGATTTTGGTCCTCCCAGTGTTTCTGGCAGAGAAGTCCTGAGTGGGCAAGAGGAGAGCAGAACTCATGCGCAGAGCCCGGGCCGGGAGGCTGCATGCACGCAGCTCTGCAAACCTGGCCTCTTTCCTCCGCCTCGGCATGCCGACAGCGGGCTGCGCCTGCCGCGAGCTGCCACCGCACCGCCTCCTGCGCCCGCGCTCCCTCAGCTCCCCGTCTGCACCTCGCACCCTGTTATATTGGGTGCTCCCTCCCCACCCCAGCTGCTTGGGGTGCTGTCACCCCCCGACACCAGACTTGCGGAGTTGCTATTCTCCCTGCGTTTGCCCACTACTTTCTCACTGTGGGCCCACCTCCTCCTGTGGTGCTAGGAGGACAAGGACAGTAACAGACAGGCATGTCCCCACGATAACAGTTAGCTTTATAACTTTACTTTATGACTTTATAACTTAACTTTATGACTTTACAACAAAGCTGAGCCTGAACCTGAGGAAGGGAGCTCACAACACTGTGCCTTGCTCCTGTCCCCTGCAGGTGGGCTGGCAGCCGTCATCTACACTGACACGCTGCAGACGCTCATCATGGTTATTGGAGCCATCGCTTTGGCTATAAAAGGTAAGACCTGGGAGCAGCACAGATCTGCCTTCCAGGGGAACCTTCTCTCCCCACTCAGGCAGTCTTGGAAATAAATAAAAAGACTCAGTGTGAGCAGTTTGGTGGCCAAGATGTCTAGCAGGACTGTGGCCCATAGCAAGCACCTAAACAGAGTCTGTGGTCCACTTGTGTTCCTTCTGCAGCTGTTTCCCCTATGTGCAAGGCGTGTGGGCTGCGATGACATAAAGCTTCCTATGAGTCCTCTGTATGGGGCTAATTCCAGATCTAGTAACATTCTGGTTCTGTCATCTTTACTTCCAAGCTGCTGGCACTTGCCTAGTTCACACACTCTGAGAGACTGTTCAAGTGCTTGACCGTGAGCAGAATGTCAAGTTTTCCTTCAGATAATTCCCAGCCATTGACCCCCTTCACTGCAGGATCTTCAGAAAGGATCTGGCCAGGGCATGAGGCGGCTCCCTTTGATGCTGTGCACAGAAATATGCACAGCAGAAGTCAGTGCCAGAAAGTCATTCCTGCAGGTGAACACAAAGTGATGAAAGGGCACAGGGGTGTTTTCTTCTCTGGTGTGTCTTCCTCCTGTTTTGATTTAGCATGGTTAATTAACAGCCATTTGTGAACATTCCTCACTCTTGTCTCTTAATAAATTTAGCCTCACAACACCCTTGTGAGGTAGGGAATTTTTGTTTTTTCTTTTTCTACCATCTGGGCATTTAGGCCCTGAGGAATAAGAGGCATAATTTCCCAGCCAGGTAAAAAGTTAGGCCCCGCAGTTTTCAAAGGTAGGCATTTAACTGAAGAGCATGATTTCCAGAAGCGCTCCTGAGATGATTTCCACCATCTCTCAGAGAAGTCTGTTTGGGCAGACGGGTGTGAAAAGTATTGACCTAACGTCATGCAGGAATTCTGCCACGGAGACAGGAATAGAAGCAGACTTGCAACAAAGCCAGTCCCACATCTGTTCTCCTGTGCAGAGGCAGAGCTCATTCTTGGGAGGGCCCTGTACATGGCAAGGTATATTTACAAAGGCTAAATGAAAGGACAGATACTTGAGGCTTCTACATTACAGAAGGGAAAAAAGAAAGAAGGTCCTCCCCTTCCCTGGAGTAGTAAGAATAATAATAAATACCCAAGAAGCAATGAACTGAGCGAGACAGAAGAGGAGCTCATTGCCTGTCCAAAGAGGTGCTTGCATATTGCTGATTATGGGCTGAAGCTATAATTGACCACGAGGTTCTCCAAGGCTTTTGTCTTGTAATCTTGGCTCTGTACAGTAATGCAAAGCAAGAGTGGGAGGGCAGGCTTGCAAGGCCTGGAAAATCCCTTCCAGCAAGTGCACTGCTAAACTGTTTTTAAATGTAATAACCTGCCAAGTGTGGCAAGGTTTGTGGAGAGGTAATAATGTTTGGGAGACTGGCTGATAGAGGGCATCAAAAAGACAAGCTACAAGCTACTGGTCACGCAGTTTTCTCCTTGAGTCTCAGGAGACCTCAGGACCTGAAGGCTTGTACGCCTCAGAGGTTATCTGTTTTTTCCAGCTCTATCAAACCGATCTAGTCAAAGCTGCTCCCCACATTCTTGCCTTGTTTGTGTCTTTAGCCCATCCCAGCAACAGCGATGCTGCTAACGCTAATCTGCTAACCTGTGATAGCTCTGTGTTGCCTTCTGGTGGTCAGTGCTTGGACAATTGCATCAGTTGCTGCTGCTGAAGTGATGGAAAAACAGATTCCTTCGCTCCAGCCACAGTAATGTGGAGCTAAGGTCACATTTCCCAAGGGAAGGCAGAAGGGTTGTGCAAATACTCTCTGGTATAATACTTTGCAGAACAGTCTCAAGTCAGAAGATAAAGTGGGTGTAAACTAAGGGATTACAAACAGATCCAGTTTACTTAACTCAATAGCCACATCCACCCTGGGGAGCTATAGGCGGGTTATAAAAGGGAGGCAGAAGTACAGTTAGAAGAGAATCCACTGTCACCCAGCCCCTTTGCCCGCCTGTCCTGCCGCGTTGGCTGTGACTCTGCTCGCCTCTGCCATCATGGGTGAGAGCAAACACGCTGTGCCATACCACACCCACCCTCGGTGCGGGCCATCGCTCGGCGGCTTTCACCTCGCCGCCTCTGGCGTTCACCACCGTGACACTAATCCTGGTGGAGCTGATGGGCTTTAGTGAAGCATCTGCGGGCTGAGTTCTCAGCCGCCTTGCTCTTTGTCCTGCTCTTCCGCGTTAGCAGATACAGGTGTTGTGACTTGCCAGCTAACACCTTTGGAAAGCTTGCAGGCCCGCACCCTGGGGTGAGCATCCCGGCTTTCAGCACTCACTCGCTCCTGCAGAGAACTTTTGTTGATGCCCAACGCCCATGCAAAGCTTGGGAGTAGCCAGTGCCTAGATAAACCAAGTGCTGGTGAGAAGCCAGGTCTGCTTTCACAAGAGCAGGAAGGCTTTGCACATGCTCCTTCTCTCTGAAAGATAATGGGCCTGTTTGCAGAGTGAGTATATGACGTCCCTTTTCTAACTCCCTGAAACTATCTCCTGCCAGATGCCCTTGGGTCCTTGTGATAACCATGGGACTGAAACCCCACTGCGGGTTTGTTAGCTGAAACGGCAAGTCAGCAGGAGAATGTCTTCCCTGGGATAAAGGGGACAGGAGGAGGGAGGCTGTAGCGAGGAGGGTAGCTTAGAAACTGGGGTTTGCTCAAGCTGCTACTTGATGGAGATCCTCGTTTCCAACACCCTGTGGATTAGGGATCTGCTTTTGGTCTGATGACAGTGGCCACTGACAAATATTAGCTCTGTGTTCATATCTGATCTGGTGCAAGTCCGTGTCTGAGAGGTGAAAGTAATTCACTGAGGGTTTCTTTTGGGTATTGCTTTGAATCCAATTCTTATTACTACGCAGTAAAACAAAGGAGTAAAGCAGAAGGGATTCCCTCCCTCCCAGCCCCTGAAACAGCATGTGAGCTGCAGCGCGTGTCATCGTGCGGCAGCAGCCCCCATCGGCGCCTGGGCTGGGGCTTGCCCAGCCCTTCCTAAGGAGGCTCCCCCTCGGCGTGTCGCCGTCTGGCTCCTCGCCTCCTCCCTGCCGCCGGCAGAGCAGCCTGGAGACTCCGCCGAGCACAGCAGTTTCTCCTGGGTGACACTGCTGGGAGCCGGGAGCCTGACCTTCTCCCTCGAGCATGAGCGGCTGTCTCCGGGCTGCAGCGCATTATGGATGCGGGGGTGCAAACGCACCCGCTCCGCTGATCTCGGCAGCTGCTGCGTGGGTGGCTGCGGCATGCGGGGGGGAGTGGAGCAGATTCCTCCCGTTCCTCCTGGTGGAAAGCAACGCCTCTGGCTCCAAAACCTGCCGGTTACACCACCAGGATGGCACCGATGTTGCTGCAAGCAGAATTCGACCCACCTCCTGCAGCGCTGAGGAGGCAGCGAGAGGCCAGGCCAGACCCCAGGGCAGGCCGGCTCCGGCCGCTCCGCTGGCGCCAGGAGGGATGCGGCAGGCCAGCCCTGTTGCAGCAGGCTGGAAGTAGGCGGAGGAGCTCAAAGCCAGCTGCACAAGGACTCGGAGGCTCGCTTGCTAGGGCTTGTTCATGGCATGCAGTCATCAGAAGGGCTTAGGCTAAGGCCAGATCTTTTCCCAGGTCGGCTCCCATTTCCTCGGAAAAATGCAGTGAAGGGGGGCTTTTTTTTTGCACTTGGTTCTGGATGCTTAAAAATGAAGCAGTGCAGGGGGTAAATGCTCAGAGGGATAGAAAACGTTTGGCCAGACCCCTGAGCCAAGGCACCTTGTGCTGCCGTATATCAAGTCAAAGGCTACCTAAACTTGCATTTAATAGTTCCAGAAAAGTTTCCCCTGCTCTGGGATGGCGTACTTTAATAAACAGGTTGCTTTTACAGTACAAAGTCAAAAGAGATGGGTTCCTTGAGGAGCCTTTGTCCCACAACATGGATCACCCTCCTAAGGGAGGGCACAAAGTAATGGGAGCAGCTGTGCAAAATGTTAATAGAAGAGTCCTTAAATAACTAGAATAAAATACCATCACAAAACAGCCCTCCCTCTTTGGGAAGCAGGGCCAGGAAGAAGGGGGCAGAAGTTCTAAATAGTGAGTTCTTGATTGTTTTACCAGCTGATCTCGGAGGCAACTGGATTTTGATTGACTCTAATCAGCCTCCCCCAATGATGCCTTCCAGCTTTCAATGAGATCGGCGGTTACCCGAACTTGGAAGAGGCCTATTTAAAAGCTGTTCCAGCCAAGATTGTTCCCAACACTACCTGCCACCTGCCCAGAGCAGATGCTATGCACCTCTTCAGAGACCCAGTCTCTGGAGATCTGCCTTGGACTGGGATGACTTTCGGGCTGTCTGTCATGGCCACGTGGTACTGGTGCACCGACCAGGTAAATGTAAACATATTCCCCTGTCCCATGTAACACAGCGTTGCCTGGGATCCAGGCATGCGCTACGGCTCTTGCCCTGGACGTCCACCTGCTTTAATGCCTAGTGGTCCTTCTGGCTGGTGGTCTCTGGGGGTTTCTTTTTGGAGTCAGGGGAAGTGCCTGGGGCTGCTGCAACCTTATTCTTGAGGTGCTTGGATTGGGACAGTTTGGAGAGCGGGATGCCAAAAGGTGTCCTCATTTCCTCTGCTGTCTTCTGGCTGTCTGGGAGTGAGGTGACGGGTTTGCCTGTTGCTCGGGGGTTGCTCGGTGAGAGGTGGCTGGGCTGTGTGTTCTTGCTGGGACTGAAGGCTTTACTTTGCCAGTATGACTGGTTGCCTGCAGTTGCAACGATCTTTTTAGGGTCGGCTCTATCCCCTCTGCGTTTGCTGGCTCCAGGGGTTTTCTCGTGCGTTGGGGAACAGGACACTTCTTTGCCTTGCTCTCTGCCTGCAGGGCTCCTGGATTGGTAGTGGAAGATGTGTGCACGCTGTTTGTTAAAGCGCAGAAAAAGGAGAGAAAAAAAGAGATGACCTACTGTTATTATACAGACACTATACCCCTGTACAGACACTCCTTCAAACTTCTGTGCTACAGACTTGGTCCTCATGGACAAGTCCCTCTGCCACTTGGGTAGAAGGCCCCTGATTCTCCTGAGACTGGTGGCAGCTCAGAAGAGAAGGCCTCAAGCCCTGACTGTTGCTACTCCAGTGATTTCTTGGTCTCTAGAAGAGAAGGTCTTTCCCCCTGATTTAGGGCTTTGATCCGCTCAGGGAGTGGAATAGTTGGGAGAGCTGGCAAAGGTTATTGTGCCTTGAGGCTGCCCAGATGACTTACTGTCTGCTAGAGCCACTGTGGAGCTGCTGCACCTTACAGAGCACCGTTTGAAGGCAAACTGCAGGCAGTGGCAGTGCAGCCCCTCAACAGCTGCTTCTCGAGCAGTCCAGAGGTTGTCTCAAGTCAAGTCACTCCTTCCTGGTGATCCAGAACCACAGACTTGGTAGTATCTCAACACCTCTCTAAGCAGCAGCAGCTTGAACACCTGTGCTGATCATCTAACTGCCCATTTCAGGCCGAAAGAGGATTCAGTCAGACCCAGCCTATGGGATCTAAGTGGCTACCAAGGTTCGATCAAAGGACGTAGGGTTGGGAGAGGAAGGTGGGCCCAGGAAGTAAGCGTGAGCTGCAGCAGTTTAGCACTATGTGGGCTGGTTTTGATTACTGGGGTGAGAGATGTTTGGATTGGGTCTAAGCTCTATTAATCTTAATTCTGGACTGGGTAAAGCCTTACGTATGGCTGTGGTCACCAGATATTTATCTCCCTCTTTGGGTGTGCCTGCCCTGCACTCTGGAGGTGTGATTGCGCTCCATGTAGACATACTTGAGTGTAATTTAATCTAGCAAGCTGAGGTGCTGATAGCAGGACTAGCTGGGGCAGTGGAGGCTGTGGCTGCACACACCCGCCTTGGCTCTGCTGCTGTTGGGACCCTAGGAGTGCGGCCAGCTCTGCACCCGCAGACGGGCTGCCTCTGTGCTGTTGGTATAGTCTGTGCGTTCAGCCAGCTAGTCTGAATATCCCCATGGCGCCTCTCCTCTCTAGTCCTCAAAGGTGGGCTCCTGCAGAACAGATACTGGGCCTTGCTTTGACCAGGAAGGTTGCCTTAGAGCAATTTAGCTTAGGATAATACAGGAGCAAAGGAGGTTACTTGCACTGATTTTACTAGACTGACTAAAATTAGTGCTAAAGGCTAAGGTGTCTTCTGGAGAGGGAAGATGAAAGGTGATTGATTTAGCTCCTCTCCCTTCTAGATCCTATGTGTCCAATGTGGGGTACACGATGAGTCATGTGGTGGGTGCTGCAGCTCCTGTTGTGCGCCAACTCCCCAGGAGCAGGGTAGAAGCTAAACTGTGCCCCCCCCCACCCCCCTCCACCCCATCGGGGAGGGGATGCCCTGACACCAGGCTCCAAGTCCCACCTGCCCATCCGTGGCATGAGCAAGTGCTTACTCAGGAGCGACTGAATCCTGATTGGTGCTGAGCGCTTCTCTATAAGCCCTTGGGGAGAGTCTGAGCTGTTTTAACGTTAGCATTTCTATGGATGTTGCTTATTTAAGAGAGACAGTCTCAAAGCCCAAGGCCTGGCTGTATTATGGATGGACAAGACTTGGCCAGACCTTTGAGATGCAGTCATTTAAGCAGCGTAGGTGGTGGAGTTGTCTGTGGTAGGAGGAGATGAGATTTGGTATTCCTTTCCTTTCTGGGCGCTTGTTTGGAGAGGAAGCTGGTTCCCAAGACAGACCCAGAGAAGGGGCAAGAGGGGAGATCACGGTGACAGGGAATTGGTTACCCTGGAGGGAGGATATGACCGCCACCTCGCTCCTACCCATGCACAGAGATTCGCTGTGCAGGGAGCTGTGGTTACTCAGTATTGCTCACACGCTGCCCAGCTGAGCAGCTCCCCAGCCACCCTTCTGTCCCAGCTCGCTTGCCCTCAACAAAGACCACAACTGCTGTCCTGCTCTTGCTGACAAGAGGGGGGATCCCCGAGACGCTGGGTCCCTGTGTGACAAGGACTTCTGCTACTGGCAGTCACCACCTCCAGAGAATCTCAGTGCAGCAGCCTGTGGTTGCACTGGGCCTTCATGTCCCAATGGAATAACACAAACCTGCTCCTGGTCTGGAGAGAAACCCACAGGCTGCCAGGGAGCTGTGTCTGGGGCCAGTGCCAAATGGCTCCAATGCTTGGCGATGGATTGGATGCTGTTTGGTAAGGACAAGACTGACATTAAATAGCATGTGTTGGTGGCTGCTCATCCTCCTTCCCTGGCTTTCCCCCAGGTCATTGTCCAGAGGTCCCTCTCTGCAAAGAGCCTGAGCCATGCGAAGGCTGGCTCCATCCTGGCCAGCTACCTGAAAATGTTGCCCTTGTTCATTATCATCATGCCGGGGATGATCAGCAGGGTCCTGTACCCAGGTAAGGCACCTATGCCACAGAAGCGGAGCTGGCAGGGTTTGATATTTTGCATGTCACTAAGCAGAAGTCGCTGAGATGCAGAGGGGCAGACATGGCCAGATTGCACAGGGGATGGGAACAACGTGGTGAGGTTTATCTGGCTCTGCACAGAGGAGAGGGACTTGGCCTGAGTGCGCCTGGGTTTTTCCTTCTTGTGCATCAGCCTGGGCTGCTGACCTCTATTACTGATGTAGCTTGGTGTGAACAGGGTTGTGTGTATTCAGGCAATTAAATGCTCTAGTAATAACTGAGTGTTGTGTTTTCAAAGTGATGAAAAACATCTTGTTTGTCCTGAATAAGTCTAAGCTTGCATTTTGGGCTAAATGTTATGGGCCAGCATGTAAGAGCACCAGCTATTCATAAGAAATGTGGACCCCAAATGAAAATGTTTGGTGTTGGGAGATACAAAGGCTATCCAAAATGAGAGCAAGAATAGCAATTTCTGCTGTGATCTGCAAATGGGAATCCAGGCTCCAGAAGCTGGTTCAGCTCCAGGAGGCTGACTCTGAGGGATTATTTAATGTGCGAAGCTGCAGAAGCTTCTAGGAAAGGATCTTATTGGGGACCACTTGTGGGTCATCTTTCTAGTACTGTTAGCGTTCTCGTAACTCATGTTAGACTAAAGGTTTCTATAGAATTAATCAAGGATTGCTTTGGCTTATTGTTATTACATGTGAGAGAAATTACTCTCTGCACATTTCTATCAGCTGAGAGCTTGCTTTCCTAACTCTGACGGCACGTCAATTATCTGCCTTTCATAAAAAGTCTAGAACAAGTTATTGCAAGAACACAAACATACCTGGCCACTTTGAACAACGTGGCACCTGAGGAGCTGGGTCACAGGCTCCTTGAGAGCAGCACATCAAAGCGCTTGGCGCGCCTCCCTCTGCACGGCTCCGCAGGGCGCGAGGAGATTTTTTTGATGAGCAAGTAATAACGCACTGGCTCTGAGCTCCATGTCACTGGCTGAGGAGGTAGAGGGTGAGGGGACCCTGGACTAATAAATTTAATTCCTTGTAAACACAGATTAGATGGGTGACAGCTGCTCGGCTAGGGTAACCCCAGGTGGCTTTGCTGATGTCAGCTTCTGCCTGCTGCTGCTGCTTTGGCCCTGGGTGTTTGAATGTCCCAAAAGAAGCAGGTGGGGAGCTTTCAGAAACTGAAATGCAGAATCCTCTGGAGTGGTGCAAGGATCTCCTGGGCACAGAAGTGGGGGATTGTCCCTCTCTCACCCGTGTCTGGATGGAGCGATACCTCCACCCCAAACTGAGCTGAAGGCAGCCGGCTGGCCTGCTCCCGCAGCTGCGCGGGGTGAATTGGTCTGGCATTGCTCAGGGCTGCCCGGAAAGCTGCTGACTGCGTTGTTCTCTGGTAGATGCTGCCATCCCTGTTTCTCTGCTGTGTTGCTCTACGTAATTATGTGTCCGAGTGTTTTACTTTGATGCTAATCACCTTTATAAGGAGTTAGAAAACAAGCTTGCACAAGGACACGCCTGCACACACAGTCTATCCCCCACTTGGGCATGATGCCATTGCCCTAATGCTTGCTGCCGATGGGCTGTCGGCTGGAGCCTGGTGAGTGGCTTAGGGCTCAACCCTCCCCTGCTTCCCACTGGCCGTGGATTAAACTCTCTGATTCCAGAAGACCTTCCTTTTAACAACCATTCCCTTTGCACTCCCAGACTCCTGAAGAGCTGTGATGTGGCCACAACCTTTCTGGCCGAGAGCACCTCTTGGGTGGCTCCTGCAATTATTGCATGTGAGGCGTTGAAAGAGTATGGTATTCTCCTGTGTGGAGCATCTGAGCACAGCATGTGGGACAAGAGACCAAAGCTAGCAATGACACTGTAAGCCCGGCTTCTGCTGAGCTGGCCCTGTTACCCCCTAGGTTGCAGGGGTGTTGTGCAGCAGAAGCAGCAGCATGCCACCGGCTTGCAGGGTGCAGAAACACAGCAAAGGAGGTTACAACAAACAAGCCTACCTGTGCTGCACTGCCAGGATAGGAGCTGTTGCCATCCAGGATAGTGCGGGGCAGCACACACCTAATCTCCATGGCGTTGCTCCTCCTCTTCACCATGTCCTCTGCCCTCATGTGCTTCAGTGAGGGTAGGTTCCCCAGGGGACTGAGGAAGGTGCCCCTGCTGATGTGAGGATCGCTCAGTTTCCTCTGTATTGGCAGGATCTCCCCGTTGTGGCTGACATCGGAGTTAGTTCTCCGGAGTGGCCCATAGCGATCCCTCACCTCGAAATATTCGTCTGAGATGGAGGAGGCGTTGGAGCGGCGGTGGCTGTGATCAGCAGAGCTGCTGGAATAGCTTTCCTGGTCGCTGAGAGTTACAAACTCCTCTTCCTCCTCCTCCTCTTCACCCAGCCCGTTCTGCGTACAGAGAGGCCCTCTGTCCTTCTGCGGTCCTGCTGCGGGCTGGTCTGGCTGGTGGTGGCTGGTCTCTGTTGAAGCTCTGCTGGGGTTCTCATTTGGCTCCTCTTTTACATTTGCTTGCTCAGCTGGCTGTGGCCGTGGCTGGGGGGGGGCCCAGGCCAGCGTTACTGTTGCAGGGAGGGCTGGCTTTGGTCATGAGGCCTCCTACCGGGATGGTTCTTGGCTTTGGAAGTGGGGGCTTGATTTCCTCATGTGTCTTGTCAGGCTGCTTTAAATGGTGGCTCGAAGGCAAAGCTGCAAAAGTTCCTGCTTTCTTCGTTTTCCAGCTGGTGCTCTCGATGGGGCTGGCAACAGGCACCGCAGGAACTTCTGCGGGGGTCTGAGAGGTCTGTCTTTGGCATGGGAACACTGAAGATGGCTCTTGTTCTGAGCTTTTCTTGACTTCCAGCTCTCTGTTCTTCAGCATCTGCCTGTGCTGAGCACTGGCTTGGGAGACATCGCAGACTTTGATGCGGTTCATCTGAGAGAGCTTCACGTTCTTTATCTTGGGGTCGATAATGTTGATGTAGCCCAAGACTTCACTCCCAGGCTCTGGGTCAGGCTCAACCCAGGTGGGCAGGTAGTCGAACATGTTGGCTTTCTCCAAATTCAGGAGGCCGGGGTGGACAAGTAGAGAGACATCTGCCATGTCGCTGTGCTTGTCTCCTGCCTGGCCCTCAGGAAGGGCCTTGCCCTTGTTGTCTGTCTTCTGGTTTTTGTCCTGATTCTCCAAAGAAGTCTTGCTGATCTGGTCTGCGCTCTTGGCCTTCACCAGGGCGTATTTAGGGTTAATCAGCTTCTTTACCACGGCGTTAGCAGGGGTCACAGGCACAACAGAGGGCAGTGTTACAGGTTCAGGTTCTGGCTCCTCGCCCATGGGGATAGACTTGAGACTCACCCCCTTGGACATGAGGTACAGTTCTTGGAATTGCTTGTCAAATGCTTCCACTACTTGGCCCGAAAGGACCGTGATGACATTCCTGTCCGTCCTTGCCGCAGACCAGGTGAAGCTGCAATAGGAAAACATTGGAAGCTGTCTTGAGTGCTTGCTGGTAGATACACCCCTCTCCAACCCTGGCTTTCCCCGCGGAATTTAACGGTGCTGGGAAGGGCAGGATTTTACTATAAAAAGCAATAATATGGAGATTTGAAAGAAGAGCTCTCATCCCAAAGTGGAATGAAAAGTTGGAATCTTGAGGACATTTGAGCTTGAAATAAAAATGAAAGGTATCTGCTGTGGGTCCGTTAGCTTTTCATTTCAGTGTTGGCCGCTTTCGTTAAGTAACCAACTGAGAAAGGAAAAGTTGTTGGTAAACATTCTTTACAAACCCTGTAAAGAGATTGGTAACAGTTGTGTTATTGTTGTGGCCAGAGAGTGGGAAAATGGTTTCACTTTCGCCTGTATGGAACTTGTCTTTTAGAGATGGAAAAAGTAATTGAGAACTTGCTTTCTACCAAAGCAAGTTCTCCTTTGGACAAATCTGAAAACATTTTGGGCAGGCAGTGCTCACGTGGAAAACCTGAGGTCAACGTTAGAGCTATCTGTGGTTTGGTTTTGTCCTTCCTGTGCTTAGCTCTGTGTGTTGTGAGCACGTGCACTCGCAGAAGCGCTTTGTGCGTCTCATTCTGGCCTCCTCCTCAGAGAGGTATCGTAGTCCTGCCAGTGAGGTGGTCCTGAGCCCTTTGGGTCTCGTGCCAAATCGTAATTTGGCCTTACAAAACTGTCCCCTAGGTTAGGGAGAGGGAAGTAAGTCTGGGATGGGGTCCTGAGGCCAGGTTCAGTGGGGACAGGTCCATGTCAGTGCCCATATTGGGCAGGCTCTTTTCATTCATTTTGACTGTGCGCTTTCACAGGGTCAAAACCCTTCTCCCAACACTCCCATATGTTTCCCTGTGGCCGAGCAAGGTTTCCCCTCCAGTGGGCCCAGTCTGTTGGCCCATGACTTCCCTGGGGCGAGCAAGATGATTACCTGTAGGATCCGCACATGGCCCGGTCTCCATCCACGAACATGAACTTCTGGGTCAAGGCCCCTTTGAACTTTGTGGCCGAACGAGTATAAAATTCGGTTCCCCCGGTGCTTCGAACTCTGAGGTTCTGCAAAGCAAAGCGAAGGCAGTGAGTGGGAGAGGCCTTGGGACCGGGGAGGGGAGCTGGTGGCCAGATGCTGGTAGACCCTTAGCTGGCCTTGGCTGTGTCCTCCCCACTGCTCCTTCCCACTGCTGGGCTTCTCCAAACAGAAATCCAGCTGAAGGCCCTTCGTGGCATTGCACTGAAGGGTGTTACCACATTTTTGCTCTGCTTTGGCTCCTGGCCTAAATAAAATACTCGAAGTGCCACTTTCCAAAATAGTGTTCGGCTGCCTGCATTGATGCTCTGGTGGGTAATTTCACAACCTCTCCAAAGTGGGAATTGCTCCTCACCGCCTGCTCAGTGGAGGCCTCAGAGATGGGATGATAAAATAACTTGCCCAAGGCCACATAGCAACTTGGGGACTTGGCTTCAAGAATTTCCTGCTTCCCCATGTGCTGAGCAGTGTTTTCTTCTTCTTGAACTCAGTGTTGCCCACATCTGTGGATAGTCAGCCCGTGATAATAACACTAAACACTTTCCATCTCTAAAGGTCTATGCAAATACTACCATGAGAGGTGATTTCTCACCTTCTCTCCATTGGCAGATCTACAAGTGCTTTCTGGGGAAGGTGCTGACCCCAGGACAGCACATGGAAACCTGCTGATGGTGGGCTTGCTTTTCTTAGCCTGGCTTTCCACTTTGGTCTGCTTTGCTCCTAAATGTGAGCGTGTTTCTCCACTGCTGGATGGGGGAAGAAAAAAAAATAGTGGTGCAACATCTTTTCAGCCTCGGGAGATGAAACTTGGGGACATAGGCCAAAAGGGCACGTACCGTGCTTCAGTGCGTCCCTAGACAGGCAGCCTGGGAGCAGGATTTCCACCAGCCGGGGAGCCCAGCTGCTCTGCAGGCCAGAGCTGTTGTCCCTGTTGCTGGCAGCCTGTGACCCACCGGGGCCATACCCAGAGGGAGGCATGTTCCCGTGGCCCAAACCTGGTCCTCCAGGCAGGCAAAGGGGCGCCTCCAGCTTGGCAAAAATAGCTGTGCAGTTCTCAGCCTCGCTCGTACCTCTGTGTTTTTCCTCCAAAATGCAGGGCACAAACATGCTTTTGCACCTGTGCAAATTATATTATTTCACAGTAAACGAGCGAACGTTCTCCCGTGAGTAGGGATTTCCTACGAAAGCACCTTTGTTCCTCCTATTTCTACTGACTTATTGGTGAATATTAGTGCCACTGCTGAAGGCTGTATCTGGTCACTAGGTCACGCCACTCATTTCTTTCTTTGTCCCTTCCTCATATGCTTCCCTGGGGTCTCTTCTCTTCCTCTCCTCTGTGGGCTGTGACCCAGTGCACCTTTACACACGTGTGTGATCCCACAGGGGCTGTTGGCTCAGGGAGCTCGCTGGACTGCGGCTCCCCGACTCCATGCGCTTGGTAGAAGGGACAGGGAACGAAAGGTGGTGTTCGTGTGATGCAAAAGAGAGGGCTTTCCTGACCAGGTTTCCAGGGAAGCTTTGCACACGGACTGGAGAAGTCAGGTTTGGGGCGTTTGGCAGATCGGTGCCATGTGCAGAGCATGCACTTCATTTTCCAACTTTGTCCTTTCCGTCTGCTGTGCCGCTGGGGCGAGACCAGCGCTGAGCGAGACCCGGGCGTTTGGCTCCTGGAGCAAGCGCTGGGAAGGTGTTGATGACCGAAAGCTGCTCGTCTTCATACAGCTCTGGGGCGAGGGCAAGCAGCTAACGCTTGTGTGCGGGTGGAAAGGGGTAGGGAGGGTCTGTGTATGTTAGAGCGCAACCTGGGACATCCTGGTTTGGGTGGTGAGGTGGATTCCCGTCCCTACGCTGCGTTTCCCGCTAGAGCTGTCCATGGGGCTGCTGTGAAAGCAGCTCGAGGGCGGCTCTCCCCGCCAGGCGCCCGGAGCCGGCCAGGGCAGCACGCGGGCCCGCTGCTGTCTAAACCAAGCTGTCGACAGCGCCGCACCCAGGAAAATAAACCAGGCTCGGACCTCTGCCCGTCACAAGGCTCTGCGTCCCCTGCTCGCAAAGCACCTCCTCGCAGCGCGTTCGTCGGCCTCCCCAGCCTGAGCCGAACCTTTGCACAAACGCACAAAGCGGCAGATGATTTTCTCAGGCAACGCCCAGTGGAACGAAGTGCCCCAGAAGCGAGGTGCCTCTTGCCTGCCCCTTCCTCCTTGCTTCCGGCACATCACCTCTGTTAAGTAAGATCTGTTTGTTTAATCTCCCCGAAGCAGAGCGGAGAGCCCGCGTGCACCCAGATCGATGGCTGCTTGCAGAGCTCGAGAGCGACTCTGCAGAACCGAGTGAATCACTCTCCAAACACTCACCCTTGCTTAATGAATCACCTGTGTTGCCCAAGCTGGCGTGTTAATTGCAAAGCACATAAGACCTGCCTGTTAGACACCAAGATAACGATAGACGTTTCGTTAGCATCTCCTGGCTTACGAAGCAGCTCTCAGACGCTGCCCTAGTTTCTTCATAGTCTCCTGCCCGGCTGAATACCAGTCCGGCAATTGCCCGCAACAAGCAATATGCGGGAAATCACAACTTTGAGACGTTTGCCGAGCTGTGCGGATGCTCTCCTGCTTTTCCAGTCCTGCCACCAGGCTCCTTGTGCATTAAAACACTGATGTGCGTCAGCTCTGGCTTTTCTGGTCTTGAAGTAGAAGCAGTTTGGAGAATACCAGACTCTCGGGGGAGTTTGGATGCGCACAGAAGCTCGGCTATATCTGTTTCAATTGCTGTGAGCAGCGGTTAAAGAGAGCCTGGAGGCTCTGCGGTTAGGTGAAGATGGGAACCTCAGGTAGCTCACGTCTCGGGCAGGCGGGAGCCGTGCACCTCCGTGACCGCGCTGCAGCAGCGCTCCCCTCTCTGGATACTCATCCCTGCGAGCCCGTGCTGTGTCACGGCCCGGCGACGTCCAGCTCTCGTGTTAGCATTGCACTTACGTGGCTCGTACGTGTTCCTGCTCAGTCTGATGTTTGCCTCAGCGTAAGCAAATTTGGTGAGCTTGTCCAGACACAGACCTCCCCGTGAGCCATTTGGCAGCCAGCGCCGCACGGCTGGATGACATCAGGGGAAGAAACATTATCTTTGCCAAGCAACAGGAGAGGTAGAGGGACTTGGAGCCAGCGGGTAAAGTACAGCCAGGAGGGAGAGGTGTCCGCAGGCTTAAAAGTGAAACTGCTGGATTCCTCCGGCTGTTTGCACCCCAAGCCTGCGATAAAAGCGTTACGCCCAGCTGACAGCCCGGGACGCTCTCTGTCTTGCTCCTGGAACAAGGATGGGCCGGGAGCGTGCCGTGCCAGCTGTGCCTCCCTGCGCCGGCTGTTGCTCCTCGGAAGGCATTAATTCCCTTCTCCTGCTCTTCTGCCCCTTCGTCTCCCTCCGCCTTCCCACGGGCGCAGTGCTGGGTTATTTTCTTAGAGGCGAAGCTCTGCCGGGGGCCTTGCTGCAAGTGCTGCAGAGCCCCCG